TCATCTGTGATCAAAGCTCCTAAGTACTTAAACTTTTTCACCTGTTCCACTTTCTGGCCGTCAATCACAATGTTAATTATTCCTCCTCCTTTCCTAGACATCTTCATCACCTTTGTCTTCTTCCCATTGATCTTCATATCAAACTTCTTGGCAACAACAAACAATCCTGTTTTAAGGTTTTACAAATTAACATTTCTCTTGTAGGTAATAGAAAGCTAGATTTGTGAATCTTTTACATCACAGAAAATGATCTAACATTTGAATCATGAAGGTTTTGGCATGTCTAGGTTGTTGGGGTAAAGAGCAACAGTGGATACTTCTAGGAAAAAATTCAGGTTTTCCACCATCTGGTGGCAACAGTTTTGACAATGCTCTCCAGATGTGTCCCATTTGTCACCAAAAGCCTGCTTCTAATGGCTGTATTCTTATTGCAATGTTCTCAAGTATGCAGCGTCATCATGTCATATCTTTCAAGGGAAAAGAGGTTAAGGGGGTGTTTTTAGAAGGGCTGGGAAGGGAAGAGAGTCCATAGGACAGAGCTTATCATTTCATAAGAAAACTCACTATTCTCTTCCTTCTCCAGCCCTCATGCTCTAAACCCACCATCAAATTCAGGCTTTACCTTCTTATTTAAGGCCTAAAGACAATACCTAATCGAGAAAACTGTATTGAGGACATAACATGAAAAACAGCTTTCATAGTGTCAAAGAGGAGAAATCTTTTGAATAATGCTGATACTGCATCCATCTCATGAATGAAAAAAGTTGTTTCATGACTGTACTTTGAATGACTTGCTTTTTATTCAGACAATTCAAATGCTTGAAACTTTCAAGAAATAAATTTTCTTGTGTTTCCAATATGACAATGTGCTGCATAAAAATCATAAACCTTGCATTTCTATGTTGGGTTTCATAAGGTATTGAATAGGACAATTTTTTTTTTGCACCACCTAATATTTTGAACCAATTGCATATATAGTTGTTTTGTAATGTGGTCATGGGAGTTGTTATATGGTTTGAGTGGTGAGAGGTGAAAGGAGAACCTACAGGGTGTTTCACTCGCTATTGACTCCAAATTTTTCCTTATAACTTTCAAACGAATTGACGCAATGTAGTGAAATGTGACACAGACATACCTTGATGTATGGGAAGCATGATGACATCATAGAAAGTGTTGAAAGTGTCCGCCATTAGCATCCAGGCATGCTTGAACGCGCCACTCCATGTTACGGAAGATTTTCACCAACATATTGGGAGTCACAGCCTCAATTTCCCGCCGAATGTTTTCTTGCAGTGCCATGACAGTCAGTGGCTTGTTGCGGTACACTTTCCCTTTCAGCATGCCCCATAGGAAGAAATCTGGTGGTGTAAGGTCAGGCGACCTTGGTGGCCAAAGTCCCTTGGAAATGACACGATCATCAAAGAATGAAGCAATTTCAGCCATGCTGACATTGGAGGTGTGGCAGGTTACACCGTCCTGCTGAAAGAAGCCATTACTGATTTCCTCATCGTCCAACTGATTCACAAACTCATGGAAGATGTCCATGTAGACTGCGGTATCCACCGTTGTGTGGAAGAAGATGGGGCCGATAATGCGGTGCCGCAACAAGGCACACCACACCCCAAGTTTTTCAGCATGAAGAGGTTCCTCATACACCTCGTGAGGATTCTCACTCGCCCAAATACGGGTATTATGGGAATTAATGTGACCACTTAAGTGGAACCACGTATAGTTCAGTATGCTGGGATTGTCATTGGCAAATTGCTGGAACCAACGACAGTACGCGACTCTCTTCTGCTGGTCGGGAGCTTTCAATTCTTGAACAGCAGTAACACGGTATGCATGCAGGTTGGCTTTTTTTTTGCAGCTCTTTGACATGTGCTTGTGGAAACCCCCATCTCCTGCGACAGTTTACGCAAGGACTTCTGCGGGGAGGCCAGCAGTCTGTTTTTCACGTCCTGCACCGTTGCGTCTGGCATTTTCGGATGGCCTCCTTCGTGGACATCCAACAATGTTCCAGTGGTTTCCAGTTTCTTCACCAGATACTGAATGGCGAATTTTGCCGGTGGTTTTCAACCCCCAAACTGCTCAATAAATTGTCTTTGGCACGTCTTTATCGATGCAGTTTTCCAGTACATGTGGACAATAAACATGCGCTGTTCAACTGTGTACCGGTTCATACTGTACAGGATTTCACGTAACACACAGGCACGATGAATGTGGACGATACAGTACACAACACCACTGTCAGAATCGTCGCACCATCCATACTGACTACAGCGGCAAACAGGAAACAGGCCTTCACTTCACGCAGGCATGTCTGTGTCACATTTCACTACATTACGTCATTTAGTTTGAAAGTTATAAGGAAAAATTTGGGGCCAATAGCGAGTGAAACACCCTGTAGATGACAAGGTCATTTTAAAGGATTCTTCTCTCCATATTTCTGTGAGCCAGGCTATGGGTAAATCCCTGTTGTACCCAATTATTTTGGACCTCTGGGTTCTAATTTCTGCTATCTGTTTCATTTCATGAATATTACATTTCCTTTCTCCTTTAACATGTTCACAATATTGTGTACCCTAAGTGGACATATTTTAAGATAGCTTTCTTGTACTACCTGTTGCATGTCGTTCTGCACTACCTAAATTGCCTACTGCCATTCCCAATTAATCTCTTATGAGAATCCTACTCATTTGAATATTTTCAAGATTGTACACAGGTGCATGAGTTACAGTCTAGGGGAAAGGGCACTGCCATGCTTACATCATTTATATTGTTGGCCACAGAATGAGTGCACAATTTTTTACTTTCTCAAATTTGAGATGCTAAGTGCTATTGAAGCAAATGTCAATTCCTTGGAGTCCCTCAGCATATTATGATGCACATTTATTCCCACACAACTTTAATGCCAAATAAATTTTTGGGGATGTAAGAAACAAGAAGCTGCACCAATCTGAGAATTTCTTTGGCTTCCTAGTTAATGAGTACCAATACATATTTTGCTGGGTTGCACTTAGCTTTGTGATCTTCAGGAGAGAAGTTTAATTGATTTTGGCTTATGTGACTGTTTGCAGGCAGTGTGCAGATTGTTGTGAGAAGATCTCAACAGATTCTGAGCCAGAGTGCATGGACACGGAGGCTCCTCGAAAGCTGAGAACCCAAATCAAGTGTCCTTCAAAGTATGGCACACCCACTGATGGGGATCATGACCAACCAGAGTCTGAAATCAAGCCTAGGAAGAAACATGCAGCTGACATCAAACGTTTGACATCAAAGAAGGCCAAGAGAACAAAGAAGTCTGACCTCATATCTAAAGTGAGATTGTGTCTTCAGCCTTGCACTCACATATCTAGAATAGAATAAACATGAGGTATATGCCACATTTGTAGATGAGGCTTCTCTCAGAGTCAGATCTATCAGGGGAGAACACAAATCCTGGGACTGGGGACCATTCTACTCCTCGTATGCAAAGAACTCCTAAGGAGAGTGATGTCCGCACAAAGTGTGACACTTGCAAAGATCTTGGGGATAATTCCAATCTGGTGAGGTCAGTGCTTTTTTTTTCTATAGTTTTGTTAATAATTGATGGTCATTGAAAGGATTTGCACAAGGTATTGGCATTGGCTTGGAGTTAAGTAAGTAAGTTTATTTGCCTAGGTTCGGCTTGTCAGTGTCCACATATATAAAACTACAATAACTTTTTTTTAAAATAAAAAGAACCAGTCGAAGCAAAGGAAAAAATAAAAGTAAAAGCATCGCTTAAGTTGTCACAATGTAAGAAAAGGGGATCCTCTCAGGCATCTCAAGAGAAAGCTATTTCTAAATAAGGAAATCAAGATTCTCAGGAAGAATAGTCTCTTTCTTGTTTCGGGTCCAGTATGATGGTGGAAGGGAGCGCACTCCGATTGCAAGGGATGCAAAAAATCCTCTTGAATTTTCTCATATAGCTGGATACCTGAGAGATGAATTTTCTTCAAAAATTCTTTCTTCACGTCTTCAATGTCCTGGTCACCGATATATGCAATGCACTTCAGAATTCACATTATGTAGGAAGAGCTTTTCTTTGAGAGATGGCAGCCATAGATGGGAAGGGCGTAACGCAAGCAAGAGATGATGCAAGCGTCAATGAAGAGGCAAATGAAGGCTGTTGAGTGTGGGATGGAGCGAGTCACATTCATAGCCAGATAGGATAATCTGTAACATTTCTGAAAGATCTGTTCAGTCTGTTCCCTGAAGCATAATTCCTTGTCAATGTAAATTCTGAGGTACTTGACCGAGTTAGTTGCTGAGATGATCGTCCTGTCGACATGGATATGTCGATTCTTCAGTCCAACCAGAAGTGGGTTATTTATTTGAAACCCTTATTTGAAAACACGAGCTCTTGACACTTGTCTGGATTTAGGATGAGGTTCTGCGCTTTCGACCATCAGACTAGGTGCTCGATGTCTTCATAGTTGTGGATGTCCTCCTCGCTTTTGATGGCACTGAGAAGAACTGTGTCATCGGCATATTTGACAATACGTGAGTTGGGATTCATAACTCGAAGGGAGTTGGTGTAGTAAGTGAAGAGGAATGGCGACAATACACCACCCTGTAGTACACCAGTTCTGGATGCAAGGGTGTTTGAGGCTTTCCCATTCATGAGGACAAACTGACTGTTCTCAGATAGGTAGCTGGTGATCAACAGCAGAAGCCATTGTGGTATCTTCATTTCTGCAATGCAAATTAAAAGTTTTTGCAGATCAATGCAGTTGGAATGCTGAGCTATAGTCTAGATATTGACTGCGTACTATTTGCTGTTGAGGTTCATTCAATTATTTGCAGATGTAGTGGAGGATCATGAGAATAGCATCTTTAGTTGACCAAGATACTTTGTAAGCAAATTGATATGGATCAGACGAGATCACTCTGAATTTATTCAGCTGTTGCAGGAGGAAATATTAAAATGCTTTCAGAAAAGGTGATGAAGACCCAATAGGGTGAAAGTTGTTGAGGGCTTTGGGCTGAGGCTTCTTCGGTATGGGCATTATTTTAATCCTTTTCAACGATGATGGTATTATTCCGGTGGAGACCCATCGGTTGTATAGAGGTGTCCAGGGGAGAGCTAACTCGTGGGCACAAGTTCTTAGAATCCACGTTGGAATTCCACAGGCTCCTGTGGATAACTTGGGCCTAGGCTTGCTTAGTAGTTTCTGCACATCTTCCTGCGTCAAGTTTGGCGATGAAGGATCTGGACAACACAGCAGAACTTCCTGTGGTAGTTCAGGATCTGAGTTGGCATTCTCAAATCTTAGAAAGAATTGATTGGGTTCTTCTGTAGAGAATCGGGTCCTTGCTTTTTTGGGTCGATCATCCTTGCCACTCATTTTCTTGAGCTTATCCCAGGTTTTCTTGGACTCAGACTCAACTGCTTATGTGCAAAAAGGAGCTTCATTGACATTGTTCACTTTTTTTAGAATAATAGAATTCCAGAATTTGAATGACTCTATCTCCTCTCACAAGTGCTTTCTCCCATTGTCTCCTAGCATGTGTTATCTTCTGATTTCTCACATAGTTCTCTTCTACTTGGATTTCTTCTTTGGGACAGACGAGATCGTAGCAAAATTTAATGTATGCTTGGAGTTGATCATTGATCCCATTGTACATGAGATTTACAAAAAATTTCCTCCCTTGCAACCAGAATGCTGAACCTTGGATTAACAGGGATGGTATCCTTTTGTACCATAACTAGAATTTTTACGCCTCCATATCTTCTGGCTGGATTTTTTGCAAAAGTGTGCAAACAGGGAGAGACACATTCACATACCTCATGGAAAATTTGCAGTAAGTGGAAAAATTAGGCACTAAGCAAGATTAGACCTGCTAATATTGTGCCAAAGGACCTGCATCTGCCATTCTCTCACTGATAGGCAAATCTTCTGTGTCTAAACAGTGGAGACAGTGCAGCTATGTTTTGAATCAATGAAGAAAAAGTAATTAGAAGCATTTAGAGACCATGGGATGGGGATGGTCCTTTCTTCTTCAAAAGACTTTTCCAGCCAGTGCAAGCCTCACTAAATAACAAATCCTCCCTGATATCACCAAGAAACTTTGGTATTGAGCTATGCTATTCCTACTGAGAGTCTTTCTGCACGTCAGTGTCTTAGTAGGCTCAAGTGGCCAGAAGCTGCACAATCATTTTAAAATATCTTCTTAAATTGTGTGTTTAAATTATTTTTAACTCCCCTCCCAGTGCACTAAAAGCCAGGACTGCACAGAATGACTTGGGAACCTGGTAGCACTATCTATTCATATCAGAGACCCCTATGGCTGAGAGAAACACATTAGCAAGACTCCTTATTATTTTCCTTTCTTGATCCTTCTCTTTTTTATATTTTACAAATACTGCTGAAACTTTTTTCCTTAGCATTTTCCCTTTTTCATCTCTCTGATTGCTTTACTTTATTTGTCATCATGCATTGTAGAATTACTTACTGCAGCCATTTCTTTTCCCTAAATTAAGCCACATGTGAGTGATTCAGATTATACACAGTTGCACTGACTTGCAGTAAACAGTAAAACCATTTACCTTTTGTCTTTACCTTTCAATAAACGTCAGTGTGGTTACCATTAGTAGCCAGACAGACATAGATCCAATGTTCAATTTCCATCCAAGTGCTGTTCAGCACGTAAGGTGTGACTATTTGCACAGCAGCTACAATTCTGTCACGAATCTGCCAAACTTCTAACCTTGATCCTTGACTGTCCTTGACATAGAGGGTTTCAGGTCAGGCAGGTGATTAGGGCAGTCATGGTATCAGTCCTCTTCCTATTCATCGATTAAAAACTGTGGCATCAAGAAATTCATACACTTCATACACTGGTGTGAGTAGGTGCTTCATCTTGTTGGAAATGCATCTCTTGATTGATTTGAACCATAATCAATTAGCAGTGAATGTTTCCTCATTGCACCTCAACTTGGCTTCAACCTGTAATGGATTTTTGAGACTCATGTTTGACCATGTGTAATGTGATTTCTCCATATGCTCCTAGACCAATCTCTTTCTACTAGCACGTGTTCATGCCATTATAGGTGTGATGAGTGCCGACGGTGCTTTCACTTCCACTGTCTGGAACCACCTGTGACAAAATCACCCAAGGTCAAAGGCTATTCATGGCACTGTGAAGACTGTGATTCTTCTCCCTCTGATTCTGTAAGATTCCATCCATCTCTTACTGTGTTTCATTGTCATAATTTTTCCTTGCTTTTCATCCTTCTAAAAAAAATGTGAAATATGGTTTAGCACTTTTGGCTGGATATGTGACTGGCACAGGTGCCTAGAGATGTAAAATTACCGGTAAGGTAGAGGCCATTACTTACTGGTAATTTACAAGTAATTTACCTATAATAACCGGTATTTTACCAATGTATAACCACTAGGTTACCGGTACTCCAAAAGTGCCATATTTATTTCTTTTTCCTCAATATCCTCTTTTCCACGCCATATATATTGGGTTCGTGGGAAAGTTCTGTCGTTTTTGTTTATGTACATTCGTACTTATCTCCCAAATACGAATATAGCTAGTGATGAATCATCTATTGTTTTTGTTTTTATCTTTGTGGATTAGAGTATAAAAGGATGTCATCACTAGCCGTATATACAGGGTGGCCTAAAAGTTTTTGGTCCGATTTTTTAATAACAATATATCGAAAACTATGAATGCTAGAAAGTTGAAAAGGGTGCCAAATTAAAAGTCAATTCAAGCTATTTCAAATGGTATGAGGTTTCCTAGTCATGGGTGCCATTGCATGACTGCCACAGCTGTTTGAAAAAACCATACGCAAAAAAAAAGTTGCAAAAGCGCAATTTCGACTCTGCTGCTGCCAGTGGGTATCTGTGGGAAGGCAGGAAAACACGATTGGCGGCTGGTTACTTTTCTTCATGCTCATTAAGCATCTCTTCATTTCCCCGTGATTATCCATTTGTCATTCTCGTGCCAAAACTGGATTGACAAGTGAGTGTAACAAGGAATAACTTGCGTCCGGAGGCATGCTTGATGTTCAGACCACCTGTGTTGATCTGTTGGTCTACCGCAAATGTGGATTTTTCCAGTGCGCTTGCCTACAGTATTGTGCTCATGATTTTTTTTCGTTAGGTTGAATTTTTTTTTTTTTCTCTCTTACCCCAAGGGCTAAAAATGAGTGTCAATCGCTGGCTATCGGAAAGTGATAAAAACATCATTCATGCACTTCGCAAGGAAAAGGGACTTTCGTTGAACCAGATTCTTAACACGTTGACAACCAGCCTATTTTTGCTTGTCCGCCGCATGGGACCACGCACTTTTTTTTTTGTCAAAAAATGCGTCCTGCCATCAGGACGCA